TGGAAAAAATGAGGGGGAATCCCGGGATCTGTGCATCTTCCTTTGCGTGTTCCTGGGCCCCTTCGCTCCCTCCCTCCCCCCCTCCCGTCCCCCAAGCTGGGGCACTGGCGATCCTCGCCAGCGGCGTGCCCTGCGCGCGGCGCGCGCCCACGGCGCCGCGGCCGCGGTCGGCCAACAACCGCAGGGCCCCGAGGCTCTGGACTTGCCCCCGCTGCCGGTCCGTGGCCTGCGCGTCCACTGCGCGCCAAAGGGGCGTCGGGGCGGGGCGGCACCTTTCAGCATCCACAGTTGCACCACTGTTGACTCCCATTTGTTGGCGCGTGGCTGCGCCCAACGTTGTGTAGCCTTGTCCAAGACAGTGTGTGTCCTGGCTCGCTGTTTCCCTTGGTTCCCCCTCCTCTCCCTCACGGCGCTGCGCAGCAACATCGGTCAGAATACCGCGTCCGTCCGGGCGTTTATCAAGAACATCGCGGCGCGTTCGCTGGGCAGCTTGTCTAGTTGAGTGTATTCGGCGAATAGCCGCCCGCATTTCTGCCCCTCCTCTCCTCTCAAGCCTCTCCTTGTCGGGGCTGGACAGAACCCCCAACAGTGACACGTCGATTAGTGAATTGTCCGTCTTCGGTTCTCGAGAGGGCGCCGTGGCCGTCATTGTCCAGGCTTGCGCCCGCCAGGTTTGGGCCTCAGGTCGTTTTCACTAAACCACGTTTTGCTAAAGGGGGGTCTGTCCATCCCCGATCTTGTCGCTGGTGCCTCTTTTAACATCTGACTTCGGGCAGGGCTTTCAGCAGGCGATGCGCTTGAGAGCCGATGTTGGCAAATGCACTGCCCACTCCCCGTCCCCTCCCTTCCCCCCTCCACGGCCGTGTGCAGTGGCTTGTTGGTGCACGTCCTTGCCATGTGGAGTTCATGGCATCCTGGCATCGGCATTGCTCCAAGGTTCGCGTCACGAAGGTGCTTTATCTTTATGCTGTCCTCTCCTTCTTCTCCCTCCAACATTGAACAGAGAGAGAAAGGGAATGAGAGAGAAAGGAAGATACATGTGTGAATATGGAGGACGATCATTGAGCCCCACAGTGTGCGACCATGGTGGAGGGGAGGGCCATATCTTGCCATACGAACGCCCTAGCAGCATGCCGTTGCCAGACAGGTGCTCCGCCAACGTGGCCTTCGGGTGATCCAGAAGCACCCGAACGTAGATAGTGACGAGATGTGCCATGGCCTGCGGTGCTGGCTGTGCCCTTTTGCCCCGGCTCTGCTGGCCAATGCCGCTTCAATGCCGCTCCTAGCTTAGTCATTCAGACTCGCTGCACGTTGCTTCATCCATCTGTTCTGGTCCTCGCCAGTATGAGGTCGGCATCATCAGAGGTATGGCGCAGCGCAATCCGCCCTCAAGCTGATATCTCCATGATGCTCTTGGTGCTTGAACGGGAGGGGGAACATACGAGTACTAGCATTCCTCATCATCCTCATTCTCCTTCCCTTTTCCCCGCTCACCCACCTCCTCAACACCCCACCTCCCCTTTCCCTCATTCCCCTGCTCATCCCCCTGCGTCCTTTCTCTTTCCCTGTGCCTCCTCTTTTTCCTCCTTTCAGCTCCTCCGCTTGAAGGGCCATGGGACGACACCGTCGTCCTAATCCCTGGTCCTCCTCCTGGGTATCCTCCTTCTCCTCCTGCGCGCCTTGCTCCTCCACGAACCAGTCGTGTTGGCCAGTTCTCCTCAATACGGGTCTCGGAGACCCGTTTCGTGGCCCCTGGACCACCAAGAGACGACCTGGGATGAGGAGCTGGTCTCGGGGTGGGGGCCGAGAGCTCCTTGCAGAGGAGGGGCGTTCGTGCGACCCCATTCTTCTGGTCCTCTTCTTGGTTGTCGTTGTCGTCCTCCTCCTCCTCCTCCGCCACGAATAATCGCGGCGGCTAGTTCTCCTCAATCTGGGACTCCAATAGCCCGCTTCGGGCCCCATGGCCGTCAAGAAGCGAATGACCAGGGACGACGAGCTGGTCCCTCCCGCGGGGCGAATGACCAGGGACGACGAGCTGGTCCCGCCCGCGGGAGGGGTCGAGAGCTCCCGGCAGAGGCAGGGGCCTGGCGCGTCCCCGTCCCTCTGGTCCTGCCCGAGGCGGGCCAGGCGTGGGCCAAGAGCTTAAGCACCATGGCGGGGTTGTGATGCTCCAGCTCTCGATGGCGGTGCCACTTTCAAGAACGACATCGAAGCGCCCCGACCTCCGCGCACAGACCGCTGGTGGAAAATGGCTGGAGGGAGGAGGGAATGAATGAGGAGGAGGGGGGGGATGAGACGGAGGAGAAGGAGAAGGAGGAGGAGCAGGAGGAGCAGGAGGAGGAGGAGGAGGAGGAGGAGGAGGAGGAGGAGATGTAGATGGAGGAGGAGAAGTAGGAAGGAGGAGGAGGAGGAGGAGGGAGAAAGGAGGGAGGGAGGAGGAGGGAGGGAGGAGGATGATCCATGCTACCAGATGATACCGTCGTAGATGATGTCGGAGGATGGCGCCGCATCAGCGATGTATCGGCGATACGGCGCCATTTGGAGCTTGGTTTTCTTCATCCAGACGCCGCCAGCGCGATCCTGGTGGGATCCTCCGACCTCATCCGCTCAGGCCCCACTTGGGAGGCCTCCGGAGGTAGGAGGAGAAGGAGGGAGAGGGGAGGAGGCATTCCACGAAGGATCTCCGACTTGCCGTCGCGGCTCCTGCAACTCCCACTCTCTCTTCCTCCTGTTCCTTCTTCTCTTCCTGCTTCTCCTTTCTTGTTCTTCCTCCTCTTCCTCATTCTCCTTCCCCTCCTCCTTCCGCCTACTCCTGCTCCCTTTTCCTTCCTCTTCCCCCTCACTCTCACCCTCCCTCCGCTTCCTCCTTCTCCATTCCGTTCTTGTAAATAAACCCTTCCTGCCGCACCCCCAGACGTGTCGGTAGGGCGGGCCGGGGGTTTCGCCTGAGACTTCTCGCCATTTCTGATCCTGAAGTCGAAATTGGCAACAGTTGCACGTATGGAGGGTTGGTCGTTTTCAAGATGTGGCTCTGGCTTTAGTGCCGCACGCATTAATATCAAACTTTTGCAGCAGTTTCACGGGTTGAGGGTGGGTCGCTTTCAAAGTGCGGTTCTCGCCTTAGCGCCGCGTACAGTCGTCTGAAAGTTTGCAGCAGCTTCACGGGTTAAAGGCAGAACGTTTTCAACATGTGGCTTTCGCCTTAGTACCGAGCGCATTCGTTCTGAAAACTTGCTGCAGCTGTACGCATCGAGGACGCCCCGTTTCAAAAATGTGGTTGTCGCCTCAGCGCCGGGCACATCTGTTTGCAGCAGTTTTGAGGGTTCGTATGGTCGAGGTCCCAGAAATGGTATTCTGGCAATGTTTAGGACGATTTAAAAGTCACGTTGACTCAAGGTGTTGAAGCCCTAGGGGCGGCGTTCTGGCTCGAAGTTAGATTGTCATGGTGCAGCAGTCACGTTGATCCGCGGAGCTGAAGTTGCAGGATTTGTGTTTTGGCACGGTTGAGGATTTTCAGACAGTTGTTTTCTAAAGGGCCTTTTTCCGTAATGACAACAGTTCTAGACTCTCTCGTCGTGGCCATGGGCCGGGCCCACAGGTGCCATCGCCTTCGGGCCGGTTCGTTGCTACTTGCTTGGGACTGGCGTGCATCACTGGATACGTGTGTGGCGTTTCGGAGTGGTCCAGCCTTCCGTCGGACGCTGTGCTTCCATCCTCGTTCCGTCCCAGCCGACCAGGCAGGTCTACGCCGTCGACACTGCCCTGGCCCTTGGCGCCCCCTGGCGTCATGACCAGTGTGCACCTAGCCTTTCCCCACTACAGTGTCTGTGAGGATTGTACGTGCAGGCCACTCTCTGCCTGTCTCGACAAGCACCTTCACCGTGGTGGACTGGCGCCGCGGCGCAAAACACAGAATTCCCTGGCATTTTGCCACAGGTCTGCACGATGCTCGAGCTTCCCTGGGCGTTGCAGTTCAGCCAGCCAACCCACCTCCGCCGCTGCCGCAGCCGCTGCCTCTGAGGGCTGGCCCGGCCGGCTCGCGCTGCGCCCTGCAGCTGATTAGGTTTGCCCGTCGGCCCGGACACCTTGTTCGCCGCCTGCGTTTTTCGTTTGCGGCCGCGACCAAAAAAAGTAAACCCACAAGCACATCCAGAAACGATGCCCAGGCGAGTTGCCATGATCAGGGATGTGGAGAAGAATGCAGTGGAACGAAGGGCCAGAGAAACCGCCGCACTCCAAGAGGGGGAGAATGGAGAAAGAATCGGAGGAAGAGGGGGAGGAGGAGGGGGAGGGGGATGGGGACAAGCTAGGTGCGCTCGCGTCATATCTGACGTCCTACCCCTCCCTTCCATTCCTAATCATGGCGTAGACATCCTATCTGTTCGCACAGCCGACGGTCGAGCAGGGCAATGATCGCGAGATTGTACGCGATGCATGGTAGAGCACGGCATGGCCTGGCGTAGAAGAGCATGGCAGAGCGTAGCATGCCATAGCATGGCGTGGCATTGCGCAGTGAAGTATTGCATCACAAAACATTGCAACACAAAACGTGGCATCGCACAGCGGCGCAGAAGACAACACCGCACAGCATGTCATGGCATGGCGCCGGGTTCCTTGGAGGGTAAGTGGATCGTCTTCGAGCGGTCTGGGCCGGTTTGGAGTCGTGGCTCCATGTTTAGGTCCTTGGGCTCCCCGACAAGCTCCACACAAGGCGGCGCTGACGGAGAGCACCAGCTGGCTCTGCTTTCAACATCGCCTTCTCAAAGCAGAAACAGGGTTCCCACTTAATACTTCCTGTAAGCGACGACGCCCCAAAGTGGGGGGGGCTTCTACGGCCGCAAAACTGTAATCACTTCCGATGGTAATCACTTCCGAATGGTTTCTTCGGGGGGCATTTTTTTTTGGGGGGGGCTATTTGGAAGGACCGAAAACGCCCGCGCTGCAGCGGGAACGCGCTTTGGAACAACCAGAGACGCAGAAATGGGGCCAGCGCTTCAGCGGGTCAGCGGGAGTAGCATTTTGGAGACAAGCCAAAATAAAACCTTTTCCGGGAATCCAGTGCCATAAAAATCAGTACGCGGAGGGGGGCTAGATATCTTCCGAACGTCATCAGGGGAGAGAGGAGAGTAGTATTCATATTGTGTAATTGTGGAAGAGGAGGGTGGAGCGAGGAGAAGGAGCAGGTAGATGATCATGATGATGATGATGCTGATGATGATGATGATGATGCTGATGATGCTGATGCTGATGCTGAATCTGATACTGATGCTGATGCTGATGTTGATGATGCTGCTGCTGCTGATGATGATGCTTATGATCATGCTGATGATGATTCTGCTGATGATGAGACTGATAATGATGCTGCTGCTGATGATGTTGATGATGATGATGCTGATGATGATGCTGCTGCTGCTGATGATGATGATGATGATGGTGGTGGTGTTGGTGGTGGTGGTGATGATGATGATGATGGTGGTGATGATGATGATGATGATGATGATGATGATGATGATGATGATGAGGAGGAGGAGGAGGAGGAGGAGGAGGAGGAGGAGGAGGAGGAGGAGGAAGATGAGGAGGAGGGCGAGCAGAAAGACCAGAGGCCTTCTGGATGTCTCTCGGAGTCTCTTCGGATGTCTCTGGAGTGTCCCTTGGGGTCTTAATGGGGCGCCTCGGGGGCCTCGTGGCGATACCCGGGGCCTCGTAGAGCGTTTTGGTTGCCTCGGGAGAGCCTCTTGGGGCCTCTTGGGGTCTCTTAGGGGGTTTCTTGGGAGTCTCTTGGGCGCCTCTTGGGGCCTTCTGGCCTACTTGGGACCTCTTGGGGTCCTCTTGGGGCCGTCTTGGGACACCCTTGGGAGCCTTGGGTGCCATCCTGAGGCCATCTTTGAGGAGATCGATCAAATAAGGGCGGGGCTCAATGAGGCCCTCCCCTTCAGGAAACCTCAGTGACGACAATGGTTTTTGCCTTCTCACCGATGCCTTCATGGACGCTCTAATCGGTCGCGCGGTACCCCGTCCAGGTGGAGGGGGTATGGGAGAGGGGTAAACCCCTCCCCGAAGGGGCAGAAGGGGGGGTCGAAGAGGAGACCCGCTAAGCCACCCACGCCCTGAAGGGCTGGTGGGAACTCGTTCAGGGACCTGTGAAGAGGGAACTTGGAGGGAGGGTGTAATGCAACATCGCTGATCCGCCTTGGGTTTGCAATGGTCCCTTGTCCTCCTCCTCCTCCTCCTCCTCCTCCTCCTCCTCCTCCTCCTCCTCCCCTGTCCTCGTCTTCTTTCCTTGTCCTCTGTTTTCTCCTGCTTCCCCTCCCTTGCGCTGAGGTCCTGAAAGCTCTGGCCCCCTCCCCGCGCTGCCCTCTCA